GAATATACTACTACTTTTCTTTGTCTATCTGTTAATAACTTATCTCAAGGACTAAGATAGTACACCCCATCTTTTTTCTGATAAAAGTAAATTAATAGTGAGAAATATCTGGGTTCATTTTCTATTGTCCATTACAGGGTCAGGATGGCGTTGGTGGTGACAAGGGTGAAGACGGAGATCCTGGTCAGCCGGTAAGTAAGCACACTATTTTGGTCTCAAAACATTTTAATAAGACTCAAAATGTTGTAAAGAAATTATCAGAAATCATCAGACTTTCAAAAGCATGACTATGTGTGCACACACTTTTCAGAATGAATTATCAGTTACATCTGAATTCCAGTTTAGAGTCCGTCTTACATGGGATGTTTCTTATTTGATGTGATTTAAGGAACATAAGCAAAGTCTTCATAATAGCCTGTAGTCATGCCATACTAGTGATTTTGTCACAGTGTGTCAAACTCAGCCATCTCGCCTTTTGTGTTAAATAAAAAATCATTTTAAAAACACAAGTAAGACTTAAATGAAGAAAATCGGGTTATCAGGATATCATTAGCATGAATTACTTCACTCACCTAAATGAACTCAGCATCTTATTGGACTTTTTTTTTTTTTTCAATTTTTAACTTGGGAAATGCAATAGGAGGCTTTGGCCACATGTGGTTATTTAGGGAGGAAGTGAAGGAGGGCACTAACTTAAGTAGGAGCCAAACACAAACTGTACTGTTAACGTGACTTTGTCTCTAGAGCCGTACCCACTGGACATTTGCAGTAGGTAAGACTTGTGGGTCATGTCCCCGCATGTTGTGTATTCCTTGGCATAAAAATGCTAGTGTTGCACAAGAAGAAATTTAGAGGTCATAGATGTATGGTCTCCCAAAATTACGTGGTATGAGTAGAATTATTAACCATATGACTCTATTAATTAGTGTATCTATTAGATGCTTCTTGGAGTCAAATTAGCATTTAAAAAAAGACAGTCTGGATTAGAGCGAATTCGATTCACTTTTTTCCAGCAATGAAGAAGTTTTCGATATGAATTGACCAGGTCTAATTATAGCCATTTGGAGGAAGTTTAGGTATCTGAAATTGGGCTGAGATTTTCCAGGAAAGATAGATGTGGAGAAATCAACAAAGAAGGTAGGCTGTAGTCCAGATTTTGAAAAGTGCTGTGGGCCATAGAATAATAATACCCAACTGCTTACAAACTATTTTCCATATTTTATAGGGTCCTCCTGGCCCATCTGGTGAGGCTGGCCCACCAGGTCCTCCTGGAAAAAGAGTAAGTTTCTTAAATTCTTTATTTGAAACATCTACTCATTATCCATTGTGTGTATAAATTTATATAATATATGTAAGCTGTAGGCAACACATTATAATGGTGCTGAAGAATATTAAGTCCTAGAGATTCATTCCTTATATTTGTCAAAATACTTATTAAAATAGAACACACTTTGACAGATTTAATCAGATTAAACAGATTTAATGAAAAGTAGTTTTCCACTTCTTTGTGCTTAGATCTCTGCCACCGTATACATATTGTAGGCTCTTCTAAAAGACTCTGATGGTACCCTGAACTTCAGCTCATGGTGCTCCAGGGAGGCCAGTTGTCCAAAGTCTGGTGCTTGCTGAAAATGTAAAAACCTGAATGCAGTATCAATAGAATGAGCTCAGGAATCGGCGTATGATGTTAGATCTCTTTACACTATCCAGCTACTCTGATTTGGAAACACTGGCAGGATTTTAACAAAGAACTATGGTAAACATAAATAAAAAGATCTTGTTCAAAATATTGGCTACCGTGGACCCTAGGAGATTTACTTTACT